TATTGTATTGTATTGTATTGTATCGTATTGTATTGTATTGTATTGTATTGTATTGTATTGTTGTATTGTGTTGTATTGTATTGTATTGTATTGTATTGTATTGTATTGTATTGTATTGTATTGTATGTATGTATGTATGTGCGTATGTATGTATGTATGTATGTATGTATGTATGTATGTATGTATGTCACGTATGTATGCATGCATGCATGCCTGCCTGCATGCATGCATGCATGCATGCATGCATGTATGTATGTATGTATGTATGTATGTATGTACTTAATTATGCATGCATGTAATTATGTATGTGTAAACTGACTTCTACACACGTGCAAATGGGCGCAAACAGCATAAATAGATAGAGCTGAACTGGCAGCTCGCTCTCTCTCTCTCTCTCACTCTCTCTCATAGCTTAAACAAACAAAAATAAAAAATATATGTGTATATGTATATACATATATATGTGTGTATATATCTAATACAAAGGTATGTACAAGCAGTAGTGTAAGTACAAGTATAAGTATAAGTGCGAGTATAGGTAGAAGTAGCAGTAGAATCGAAAGCATAAGTATAAGTTCAAGTTTAAGTCTACCTATAGGTACCGGTGTAAACCGGTGTAAGTATAAGTATGTGTAGATGTACAGGAATAAGTCTAAGTATAACTATAAGTATATGCATATGCAGATGCATACGTATATGTATATGTATCATATATGTATACGTATATGTATGTGTTTATGTTTATGTTTATGCTTGTTCAGGTTTGCAAGAGCGACAAGTCGAAACGATGCCGTGAGTTCTTAGCCTGTCAGCATACCCGCCCGAAGGTTTCTGGGGAAGGGAGACCTGGTAAACAGACCGAAGCGATTCCCCAAGGCTGGAAAGTAACAGTTTTTGTTGTCGGGATTCAGGGTGCCCTAAGCCCTAGACCCTAAAACCTTAAACCCTAAAGCCCTAAACTCTACGGAGATCGCCGAAGAGGCAGCTGGTCCCTTGAGCCGACGTGCGCTCTCCCGGAGCGATGACAACAGCGGCTCGGCCGGGGACCCAGTTGAAGCTTTTGGGTTTGCGATTTTTCGTTAGTCAGGGTTTAGGATTCAGGGTTTAGGGTATGTTAGGGTTTAGGGATTTGGGTTCTTGAAGGCTTCGGTGGGATCTGGTGATGTCGGGTGTTTTGGAGTTCGGGGTTTGCGGGTACGGTCTAAGGTCTAAGGCCTAAGGCGTGGGGGTTTGGCCTAGGGCTTGTGTTGTTTCGTGATGAAGACGACTATTCAATTCGCCTCCGCCGTCAGGAACAAGCAATTCATTCCAGGACCCATGCACCAGAGCATCCACCAACACATGCACATGTAAAATACTTTAAATCCTCCAGACAATCGACGTTTGTTGAGCCCCGCCAATGCCTCTCGTGTCCGTTCCTGGAGTTGCCCCAAAGCCCGTGGGTGCCCTGCCATGCTGCTCCTGACCTTTGCGGACCGCGACGCCGCCACGTCCGAGGCTGCAGCTGTGGCCCTAGTGCCATGGCTACGGATACTGACACATAGCATCTCTACTCGGAGTTCGAGATGTTCAAAGTGATAGTAACAGCAGTGGCTATGATCGTTTGCCGTCGTTTTGCACGATTTGTACGACTGCCTGGCTTTCGGAGTTTGGGGATGTCTGGGATGAGATTGGCACGCGGCTTCTGCCATCAAAGACCTAGAAGGCTTGACCTGTAAATCTGCAGCCCTTTCGATGTTGCACGGGTACTATACGAGTAGTTGCGAGAGCTTTCGTAGAACAAAGGGGTGTGTGCCACAGCTTGATCCAAATACCCGCCTTTATCTGCAGCTTTCAGCACGGCTCTGCCATTTCAGGCGAAGAGGACCCCTTCTGAAGCTCATGATGCTGGCTCTGGAGGGGTTGGGTGGTTATGCTACACCCGTCTCAGTCCTCGGATGGAAACTCGTCGTCGTTGTCGTCGGCATCGCACAAGCAAGCGGTATGCGTAGCAACGTAGCAACTGCAAGAGATGCAATTTGCCCGAGGCGCCGCTCGGTCCACGTGTTGCCGTTCGTGTCGTCAGAGGCGAATCTGCAAGCAGAGACTTTGGGGTTTCTAGGCTTCGGGGGTTTCTTACCAGCCTTCTCGCTGTGTATCGTCTGTTTTATTCGCGTCGATTGTATGTAGCTTTCGGGTAGCAGCAGCACACTTCTGTATTGTTCCATGAAGACGTAAAGATTACATATAGTATATGTCGAGTTATCTCCAGTTTTATGTTTGTGTGATGTCGTGCAGGTTTGAAGCACAGATGGTGAATGGGTAGGAATGAAGTGCCAACCGTGGTGAAACGTTGCACTCATTCACAAAGCCCGGGACCTTAAATCCCAAAGCCCAAAATCTCAAACCCTAAACCCTGAGCCCCTCCATTTCGTGAGTGATGCATCGCCAAGAGGAGTGGTTTTGCAACAAACAAGAACCCCAAATTCGGGCAATTGTCACCCAATATGAGCAGAGTATGATATGTACGAAAAATCCCATTCGAAGTATTACGGCCCCTCTCATGCGTGACTTTAAAACGCCCCATAATCTGAGCACCGAAGCACCTCTGTCACGACAAGGGGTAAACCGGGAAGCGCCAGGGGACCTGACTGCGGTGGCCTTGGGGGATCTCGGGGAAGCGGTGGGAGCTCAAGGCAGGACCCCGAATCCAAAACAGGGGGCCTAGGACTTTTAGCGCTTTTGGGATATGAAGGGTTTCTTGACACGATTCTGAGAGAGAAGTTTGCTGTCCCCGGAAGTTTAGGCGAAGACTTCGGACCATGGGCCTAGAACTGATTTTGCTCCCAGGGATCTCTTCGCCCTTTTTGGAGGAGGGGCCGCCGCCTCCTCTTCCGGCAGCTCCGCTGTGGCTCGCCCTCCGGATGCCGGTGTCAGGCTCTCGAAAACGGGACTTGAAACTATGATTGGTCAGTCTGGAAGCATTACTTGTCCCAGCTCAGAATTGCAACGGGGCGTAGGTGTACCGCAAGAAGAGCAACACATGTCAATCGCGATTTCTGAGCTTGTTCGGAGGTGTGAGAAAACGCCAAACGCTCCGGTGGCAGGCCTGTCGAGACAGATCTTGATGTGCCTACCTTCATCATGTACGGGGCGAACACCGCCGGCATCGCTTCCGGAGACTTGCTGAAACTGGGCCTTTCATTTTGAAGGGGCCTTTTCCCACTGACTGGCGTTTTCTGCCGGCCCATTTCAGCGAGGGTTTCAGGAGGGCCCCCACGCCCTGGATGCGAGATGGTATGCTGTTGCGATTGGCAGGAGATGTCGTTGCAATCATGCAGTAGAAGAGCCAATCATGTCAAGCGAATCCCGAGGAAATCTGCAGAAAGCCATCAGTGAAGCCTTCCCGGAGCAGTTTGCCGACATTGCGCGGCAGATGAGTCAAGCTCCGCCGCATGACGGCTTCGGAAACGGCGAGGTGGAGTCAAGGGTCTCGGGGGGGGGGGGGAATGCGCCAGGCATGCCTGACGGTAGCCGACGGTCCAAGCCATGTCTCTCGCAGGTGTTTGTGAGCCACGAAAGCAGCAACATCCGGCAGCATGGCTGATGAGTTCCCAGGTGTTTGAGAGGCACATCTCCTGTAAACCATCACCAGAATGACGGCATGCTTGGGGGTCAGAGTCACGGCCAAAAAAGCATTTTCAGAAGGGCCTCGGAGCTTTGCAAAAACCTGAGAACTTCGATGGCTTCGGTTACCCACCCTAGCCCTCATCGTAGTCCTGAGCATCCAACAGAACGTGAGCCCAGGCTTCTGGCCGTGTCCCTCTTTCCGCGGTCCAGCGAGGGCCCTGCGGCAGTGCGCCGAGGCGCTGCAGATGCCTTACGCGCAGCCCAGGCGCTGTCAGGCAGCTCTCTTGCAAGGTAGTGCAGCTGCGAGGTTTATGACCTCTGAGATCGAAGTCTAAAGATGTTACTTTTACATCGTTTCTTGTCGGATTGAGGTCTTAGGTGCTGGTCTATAGTGAGAGTTTAGGTTTCAGGCTTACGCGGCAAAGGCAAGGGATTTCATAGATCGGGTCTTTTTGCTTATGGTCTTGTTCTTTGCTACTATCGTCAACAGCCATTCTTGGTCGGATCTATAAGGCTTATGCGAGGAAATCTTCCGAAAGATGATTGAAGAAGCAAGCAGTGCTTTAGAGTTTGGGGCTTAACGTGCGGGGGTTGAGCTGTAGCGTTGAAGCTGTAGCGTTTTTGGCTTGATGGGGTTTAGCTTTGGCAATTGCTGGCTCAAGGGCTTAAGGTACCACTGCTGACTATGAAGATGTTCGGTAGTGTTCCTCCCAACTATTGACGAGATCAAGAGAGATGGCAACTCTACGAAGTTTGTATTTTAGCTTCCTAGCCATAGCGTCCGTGGCTGTTCTCCACCTGACTCAGGCCCAAGTTTTCGCGTCGTCACCCATGCACTGGGCAGCTTCACCGGACACCCACGCATCTCGGCTCCGATTTGATCCTCGGTGCCTTGCGTTTCCCGAGCGCTGGTAAGACTACCGATGGCCTATCGAAAGTCATGGGCGCGTGGAAGTGAAAATGAACCGTAAGTCCTTGGCGCTGCTACGACTCTCCTACCACAACAACGACCACAACAACTACTACTACCACCACTACAACTACCACGGCCACTATACCACCAGTACTACTACCACCAAGACTTACTGCCACTACCACTGCCACTGCCACTTGCACGGCCACTCCGTCTGTGACTGTGCCTGCGCCTGGCGTCTGCTGCTACTTCTGCTGCTGCTGCTGCTGCTGCTGCTGCTGCTGCTGCTGCTCTTCCTGCTGCTCCTGCTACCACTTCTTCTCCTCCTTCCACTCCTACTCCCACGCCCGTTCCTCCTACTGCTCCTCCCCTCCGCCTGCTCCTGCTCCTCCTGCTACAGGTCCGCAGCAGTTCGCCGAATGCCTCGCGCTTGGGGTCGAAGATTGGCTGTCTGACAACGAGCCACCGAAAGACTGAGAGCGAGAAAAAGGTCTCTCTTTGGGCCCTACCAGTCAGCGGCCAGACACAATAGTGACCACACCAAACAAGACTCCTACTAATGGTGATGGCAATGCGCAGTGGTACACGTTTAAGGAGTGCAATCTCAATTCAATACCTTGCCGGTAGCTTCGACACAACGACCATTAGTCCCAGCACCACCTTGTACTCGCATTTACAGCGCTACTCGAAGTTTTTCTTCCGTTCTTGTGCGGAGCAGGAATCTGCAATAACCTGTGCTTGATGCGCGAGGGCAACACCCACCTCCAAGAGCAGCAGAAACTGCAAGCCAAATTCAGGAACAGCCCCAGTGCTTGCCGTAGATGTGGCAGTAGACTCAGCTCAATCCGAGTTGTTGCAGACTCACATCTGCATCCGGGAAGAATCGGCACAATACCAGCCATCAGATGATACGGTAAATTGCCAGCACAAACTTGTTGTTGATGCCCCTTTACCCCACAAAGACTGAGCACACAGAACACATAGCGCAAAGTACTCGTTTTAGTAAGCCACAGCAAAGTGGAACTTGCCGGCTTCTCCTTTTCCCAGTCTTCGTGTCGCAGAAGGGGCACCGAGGGCACCATCACCACGACGACTCGATGGTCAATGCAGAGATGACTGCAGAGGTTTTCGGCATCGCCATCGCCAACGATACCACACCGCCAGCGCCACCGCCGCCACCGCCACCACCGCCACCACCGCCGCCGCCGCCACCACCACCACCACCACCACCACCACCACCTCCTCCTCCTCCTCCTGCTCCTCCTCGTCTCGTCGTCGCGATCGTCGTCGCCGTCTTGGCAGTCATACAGATAGGAGCTACGACAAATATGGCTGGCGTACTCAGTGTTACTCTGTTATTCCACAACTTCTGTGCCTGTGGTGGTACTGTTGGCTCAAAGATTTGCAGAAGCATTTGCAGAAGCTTGCTTCCTTGCATCAACCGGACCCATCAGGCCGGTACCGGAGTCTCGCAACATGCGCAGTAGTTTTGCACTTTGCAGCCTTCGGTTCGGGGTTGTTGAGCTTTTTGAGAGGGTCTCTCTGCTCCATGCTGGTGCAGATCATGACTGCGAGGCAGGACCCTGGTTCGACTTTTAACGCAAAGAACAGGAGTCACAATGCTGGCCACTGCCGCCTTGCAGCAAGAGGCTTTGCCAGCTGCTGGATCTTGTTCAGCCACTTCGCAGCTGTTGACACTCCAAGGTAAAGAACACTTTTCTGCACTGGTACGATGCTGACCAGTCAGCTCCACGCCGATCTCGCTCGGTGACTGGATGGCAAGGGCTAGTGGCTGTGTAGTTTCTGGTCATTTGTAACAATGTTGGATGATCTCCTCAGCTCTTCCCGAGCTGCAGCATAGAAGGCGGGCCGGAGTGACAGCGGCAGCAGCAGCAACGGCTTATGATGTCAACCGTAACAGCGTAACAGCAATAGCTAAGAAGAGCAATGCACCACCCGCGAGAAGATCTCGGAATGAGAGCGGCGCTCGCGTGATCAACATCATCCTCCTTCCTCATGTTGAAGCAACTACCGACAGGGTGGCGATGACTAAGTACAACCAAGACTAGCAAGCTGTATTCGTTCTGACATTTTTTGAAAAGGGTTGGGCCTGAAGGCAATTCCACTGCTCCGAGGCAGATGTGCAGAGAACCTCGACGACAGACCTGTCTGACTACCAGGATTGTGTGGCTGCGGCTGCAGAACGGCAGGGGTGGGGAAGAGAAAGCAAAGAGGGAACGGCTCGACGAAGAGCAGTAGAGTTCAACAGCAGCGCGATCTAGACTGCACTGCATAATAGATTTTGGCCGAACACTCGGAGAATCAAGGGGCCCCCAGCTCCAAGCCTTCACCTAGTAGAACACTAGACGAGGGCCAATTCCCAAGCATCCATTGAGCCTTTTTGGCCCGGTTCTCTTGGTGAAGGCACCGTAGCTGCCAGGAAGATATGATAAGATTTTGCGGGGTCTGTTGGGGCACTCCTAGGATCTTAAGATGTCGGACTGAAGGTGCCATGGTCATCAGGAGCACTGTGCCATAGTAGGGCTGTGTGCAAGATATCCGGCGCTCACTTTTGCCGGGTAGTAAGGATCTCCAGTACCCAAGCCAAGCGGGACTTGAGAAGTGCCAGGGTTTTTGAGTCGGTGAGGGCTGTCTTGGATGATTTGGTGGAGGGGTCCGAGGGCTCCTGATGGCGCGCTGTGGTCTGAGGGCTAAGGGTTCCGGGTCTTCTGCAAACTGCAGATTCCGGAGGCTCAGACAAGCGGATGGAAAAAGGCGATCAACAAAAAAAGCATCCAGAATCCTGAGGTGCAGAAGCTGAACAAGATCGCGGCGGCGCCGGAGAGCCCCAAAGAGCTGTTGGCGCCGTCTCCTGAGCAGCCTGTCAGACTTAAGCCTTTGAGGGTTTTATGAGGTTTTTATAGGGGGCGACGTAGGGGTGGTTTCATCATTTAATGTCCAGGTTGAGGTTGGTTCTTGAGGGGCTTTGGATTCAACCCAAGTTGGGGCGTCTAGGCTTTTGGGTGTTGCGTTCGGTGTCCTGGGGTTAGGGTGTTAGGGTTTAGTGAAACCTGAGCAGTCGTGGATTTTGGGTGTGGCTTGCGTCTGGAGTCTGGAGGTTATTGGTTCCCGGAGCTTCCACGGCTTGCCTGCAGGGGTTTCTGCCAACCCAGTCCATGCACTCAGTGCCTCCAAACTCGTCTTAGGCTTTCTAATTCTAACCCTAAACCCTAAACCCTAACCCCTAAACCCTAAACCCTAAACCCTAAACCCTAAACCCTGAGCCCTTTGTCACTAAAGTACCACAGGGCCCAATTTCGTGGTAGGCCCCAACCCATACTACACCGGACCAAGGGCTACACAGAACTCACTGTGACCTTTCGGGAGGCCCACCCTACACTCTAGGCCCGAAACCAGGGTTTAGGGATTTAGGGATTTAGGGATTTAGGGATTTAGGGATTTAGGGTTTAGGGTTTAGGGTTTAGGGATTTAGGGTTTAGGGTTTAGGGTTTAGGGTTGAGCCATCATACTAAGCCCGAAGCCCTCGGACCCCCACAGAGTTTGCGTGTCAAAGGGGCGAGCATCTGAGGTCGCCTGCAGCGCCATCTGTGGAGGAGCCGTCCTAAGACCGAAGAGCCTGGCGAACACCTGCAGAATCATCAATAAACCCTACAAGGAACTAACCCCCCCCCCCCCCCCACCCGCTTCCCCCCTACAAGCGCTAAATAAGGTCCTATAAGGCCTTATGACCTAGTACCTGCAAGCCTACACTCCTCTGGCGATGCTCATCCTCAGCTGTGCTGAAAGGAGCTCCGTACGTTGCAGCGTAAGATTGCCGAATGTGCAGGCCCGGGCGGGTTGCCAGTGAAAGAAACAGAATAAAATAGGGGCCTAAATAAGTACCTATACTATTTTGGGGGTTCCTTATTGTAGCCTATTCCAATTCAAACTATTAAGGCCCCTACATCAGGGTTTTTGGGCTTCAGGTTTGATTTACAACTCAGGGTGTAGGGTTCATAGCGTTTGACAATGTTGGGTTTACTTTAGGGGCTTTTTAGACTAGGGCTGCTGGGGTATATTATGGTATGTTTATATTGTAGGGACTGCATTGGGATATTCTTGCAGACCAATCAGAGAGTGATCTCCTTCGTTACCGCTCCCAGGCACATCCAGGGCTTCTCGTTACGGCATTTCGGCTTATTGAGTATTGCGCAGAAGCCTCCCCAGACCCCGCTCAGAACTCCGTGATCTTATGGTCTCGGAGCTTGTAGCACGGGTGGAATAGATTTAGGGCTTCGATGTTGTCTTTCATGTCATGCTTTTTTTTACCCAGTTGCCCAAACGCAACAGGAGTTCCAGATTTATCCGGGCAGGCCCCGAAGGCACCAATCCCAAGAGGAGTAGCCACCTAAGCTTATCTACAGCCACGAAAAGCCTCCGTTTCCTGCCAGGCTTCCCGTCGAAAGCCACTTGGCTGCAATGTTCCATGCGCTTAGGGGGCCGAACGCATGCAGTCCACCAATTTTCGTTCTGTCGGTTCGATCTGTGCGTCATCGACCTACTAAGCGGACCCCTTGGCGACGTTTTTGGAAACTCTGGGGCCACCTGCGATCAAAACCTCCACATGTTTATCACCCCACACGTCGCAACCATGAACCTGGAAGCCCTAAACAACCCGCTAGTTGCAAAGCTTGTTGCTTTTCAGGCGCTTATTGTTCTAAGAACGACTACTTTGAGTATCTGTGCTGTCATTGTTCTCAGAGGGGTCATCCTGGCTGGTACTATTCCTACTTTTCTTCTTGTTTCCATGGATGTGCCCACCATGTCTTCAACCATCCCTATCTAACCCCCGCGGTTTATGGTGTTCAGATTCAGTCCCTCGCCCCGCCCCCCCAAAAAGCCTCCCTCCCCCAAGCCTTACGCCCTGACAACTCCTAGACCCTAGACCCTAAAACCCTGAACCCTAAACCCTAAACCCTAAACCCTAAACCCTAAACCCTAAACCCTAAACTCCAAGACCCACCCTAAGCCCAAACCCGAACCCTAAACCCTAAACCCTAAACCCTAAACCCTAAACCCTAAACCCTAAACCCTCCTAAGCCGAGGACTCTTCGCAGGGACTCTCCTCAAAGCGTATCCTTTCGAGCAGCTCTGTGAGCACCATGGCCTCGGAGAGTGAGGCGGGGGTTTAGGGTTTAGGGTTTAGGGTTTAGGGTTTAGGGTTTAGGGTTTAGGGTTTAGGGTTTAGGGTTTAGGGTTTAGGGTTTAGGGTTTAGGGTTTAGGGTTTAGGGGTTACTGCTGAGGGCGTTTGGGGGTCAGAGTTGGAGCCTTTGTGGAGTTTAGAGTTTGGGAGTTTTTGGGGTTTAGGCTTTGTAGAATTGAATTAGGAGTTTAGAGTTTGGGGGTTTGGGGCTCAGGGTTTTGGGCTTCAGGAGTTTAGGGTTTAGGAGTTTAGAGTTTAGGAGTTTAGGGTTTAGGAGTTTTGGATTGTAGGAGTTTAGGAGTTCCGGGTTCAGAGTTTAGGAATTTAAAGTTTAGGATCCAAGGGAACTTGGTAGCTAAAGGGGTTCCTTCTCGGGTTCCTCAAAGGATTCCGGAGCACGGAACTTAGCATCGAGCGTTTTTTGAGGAGGGAGGCCCGAGTTAAACGGGTAATTGGCGGAATGAAGGTAATCGTGGCCGGCTTCCCTAAGTCCCATGATAGGGTTTAGGGCACTAGGGGGGAGGGAGTCTTCCAAAATGCACATTGAGCAGTCCATGTTGAAGAGGGGTGCTCATAGAAGAACACCGGTTGTAGCTGGTTGTGAAAAAGCTTCGCTTTTTGCTTGCTGCTTGAAGCTCAAGACTTTCGGGGGGGAGCATAGCGCCGGAGGCACAGACACACCTTCTGACGTTACATATCATCTTTTTTGCGATTTGGGTTGTCAGGGGATTGAGAAGCCACAAGTTGTCGAAGCTTCCTCGATGGCACAGGACTACTCAATCTCCACCAAGGCCTGAGCTTGCACTTTTCGGCGTTCCCATGTTCTGTTGCGATGATTCGGGTTCGGACGGAAGGTGCGGAGCTTTACAGGGAGGCGAGCTTCAAAAACCGAAATGAGCGGATTCGTTGTCGACGTCGGTCCTGGTGTGCGATGGTTAAGGGCGAAGTTGCGGATCCCAGCCCTGCATGCAATTGGCCGGTGGTAAGGGTTCTTGACAGCTGTCCCTCTTCCTCTCGTACTCGCAAGGTGCCTGCAACCTTCAGAAAGGGGAGAAGACAACCCGAAGTCAATGAAGCAAAGAACTTTCGAGCTCCCAAACCTCATGGCTTCCGGGAGGTGAATCCGATGCGTAAGGACTTCTCGAGTGGCTCGGTGAGCTCAATGTGCTCGTGGGCAGACTGCCAAGACGACGGAGGCTGGTATAGGAAATATAAGCATAGACTTTTCACCTGACTTTTTCAGTCCTTGAGCAAGAGGCATGGCAACGATCGAGATCGGCCCCATCATCGAGGAGCTCTGGATGCTCCCGCTTACGAGAGATATTGCTGCTCCTGCTAGGGGTGCTGCTGCTTTCGCGGCCACGGCGACGACGATGTGGCGACGACGAAGACGACTGCATACAGCCCTTCCTGCAGTCCCAAAGCCACGTAACGGGTGCTTCCCCCACCCGACACTGCGAGGAGGAGGAGCGTGACAATCCGCGGGTGGCTGCTGCCAAGGATGGCAGCAAGGCCTTAATTGGTTCAGAAGTCGTATTTGGCGTCAGGAGACTTGCTCTGTGAAGCGGGCTGAAGACATAAAGGTCTCCGCAATACCTCGCATCGCAGAGACCAGAGCTGGCCGAAGTTTTGTCTTCCGTCGCAGGCCGAGTTCACCCACAACCAGGTTCCCAAAACCGTGAATCTGGCCTCTCGGCGGAAGGATCTTGGTCGGAACAAGTGCCGTTGACGTCCGTCTCGCAGTGTCGATCCCAGGCGTCGATCTGAACTTTAAGACTCTTGTGGCGGTCTCTCCTAGTTGATATCTCACGGACCGTCAGAGCATGGGGCCAAAGCAGGATGGAGAGGCTGCCTCTAGCGAGGTGTATGAATAGGTTGCGAGGTGGTTGCGGACAGCGTGTGACCTTGCAGGCTGCAGAATTCTCCAAAACGCCACTTCGAGCCCCTCCGACAACCATGATGATTCGTGACTTGGCATGCTGACGGATCGGACACGGCGCTGGGCAAGACAGTCGCAGAGGACCTTTCTGGAAGCGCCAGCTCCCAGACCAGACCTTGAGCTCAGGTAACATCCCCAACCGCTACACACAACGGGAGTTCGTGCGCGAGTTGGATGGGCTTGGCTTTGCGGGAACATACGACTTCCTGCACTTCGGCAGAGATTGACGGCAGTGAAGTAACAGTTGGCCAGAATGGTAGAAGACCCTTATAAGAGGAACATCATTCTCAAGAGTAGACAAGCCATGGCAACATCCTAGCAGCAGCTATGGAAGCTTCTTGGGACTCTCGTAGCATACCGAGCCCTGGTCCGGGTTGTAAAACACGAGCTGTGGGCTCCTCCGATCGTGGCACCGAGAAATAAAAAGTCTGGTTGGCTTCAGATGTAATACTTGGGTCGTAGGTCTTTTTTTTTTTGCAGGATTTCAGGGTTCATGATGAACTCGTCTTCCTGTCTGTAAGGTACCTGCCAATTGACAAGGGCACCCTGTGCAATGCAGCTTGGCGACACCTCTCCGGCCAACGACATTCTTGATTGGCCTGACCTTCACCGACAATCGTCGAAAGACGAAGTCCTGAGCCCTCCCCCCGAAAACCAAGACCCGGAAGAACCTAAAGCACCCAGCCTTGTCCGAATGTTACTTCTGAGTTGTGATCCTTGTTATAGCTTTCTTGCAAAACAGACAAGGATGGATAAGCTGATCTTCTCCGTGTTAGCTACAGCTTCAAAGTAGGTCCTTGTACCAGTTGCCCCAACTCATTTATGATCATGGTTTTACAGCTAAGCGGCTAAGCCTGCTTAGCCTTGCACCGGATAGAGTTCGGCATGAACAAAGCCCTCATGAGCTTCGAAGTGATGCCCCTGAAACCGGAAACCCGAATCTCTTTCGGCATTGAACCCCAACCCTCCCCAAGCACACTCTAAACCCTAATGATCCAGGTTGGCTATGCTTTCGTGAACTTCTTGGAGCCGATCTCCGCCCAGCGCTGTATGGAGGCAGGGCAGTTGGGTTGGGCGGTTGTTTGGAGGGATCGGGGCTTGTTGGTCTTTTGCTGGTCCCTGCTTGGCCTTGGTGGGTGTTTGTTATTCTGCTGCTGGTGATGATGACGATGTTGAGGACGATTGTGCAGCGGGGTATCTGGATGGCGAGGACGATGGGGATGACAATGATGATGACAATGATGATGATGATGATGATGATGATGATGGTGATGGGTAGCGGTGACGACGATGATGACTCTCACGCCTTCAGCTTAAACGTTAAGCTGCAACCCCCAGGCCTAGCGTGTCTGCGTTTGCAGCCTGGAACCTGCAGCCCTGAAAGAGAGAAGCCTGACATGTATCAATGGTGCTCACATCGCGAAAACTTTTCGAAGAGGTTTTTCACAACTACATCTTCCAGCGCTACCGCAAGGCTGGGATTTTCGCTTTGGTGTCAGCATGATGAAGGAAGGCGCTAGGAGTCTAGGAGTGCTGCAAGAACACGCTTTTGAGTAAAGTGCCGCTGCAGAAGCTTGCATGCTGCGGTCAGAGCAAGCTAGGTCAAGATGCACCGAACTGGGCTTAGTTGGCTTCCGGGGAAGAGACCTTAAGTACGATTGACCTATAGACAATGCTGCAAGGGGTGAACTACGGCGAAGCCAGTACAAGCACACCTGGCTTCCAGTTGCAATGTGAAGGTTTAGGTTGCATCGAAGGGCTGCGGTCACGGAGACTATATCAAGAGCAGCACCATTGCTGCCATCACCGGCGTTTGGACATACTTGCCGGCATGGAAGGTGCGTGGCAAGATCGCAGCTGTGTCCATCGCCCACATCCAGGAGCGGGATTTCGTTATTCCGACTTCGGCCCTTTGTGGAGACAAGAGCCGAACCGAATGTTGCAGATTGCCGTGTGCTCGCCAGCTATACAGCAATACAGGATGCTCTTGCAAATTATGCTAATGCAGGTTGGCTTCCGGTGCAGAAGCTTGTTGCCGGTGCTGTGTTTGTTTGTTCTGTTCTTGGGGTGCTTTGCTTTTCAAGCATTGGAGATGTACGTCCCATCACGGCGGTGCACGAGAACACCGCCCAGAAGCGGTGCATTGTGATCCCGGACTCGTCTGGAGCTCCCATGTTGTCGATCACGAGATAGCGGTCACTGCCAGCTCTCAACACCTTCTCGCTCTTGGAAGCCGTTAGCTGCTGTGAAGTCTTGCTTTGTACGCGATTGTCTGCGGATGTGCACTTGTCGCAGCACTAGCGAGTTTTGCCATCGTGTGCACTCCTGCTGTTGCACCTCGAAGCCTTTGTGTTCTGCCCTCGTCAGCCCCCCAGCAGCAAAGCCCCGAGCCCAACACGATCTTCTGGCAGGGTCTGGAAGCCAACATGCGCCACTACGAGCTTCTCGCCTTCAAGTGGGCTTGAACTGCAAGTCCTTAAACCCAGAACCGCATGTGCGAAACCCTAAGCCTCTTTCTCCAAACTCCGAATCCCAAATATGAGGAGTCGCAAATCCCAACGGCCTGAAGCCGAAATGTGGAGATTTTTTGTTTTTGGATTTTCGGCGCCTTCCTGCTACTATCCCTGGTGCTCGTCTTAAACCCTGAGCCCTGAACTCCTCTGCCAAGGAACTCGGCCGTGAACATGGCCCCACGCATCAAGCAGCAGCGCGGTCCACTCATCATCCCGCGCGGAAGCACGGGAAGCCACAGGGCTCAACTTGTAGGGTTTCGGGTGTGTTTGGGTTTGGAATCTAAGTAAGCCACACGTGTGGCAGCCGCACCGCGTTTGGCTCTGAGATGAGGCCTGAACTACAAAGCCGCCAAGCCTGAACACTATCCTAAACCCTAAACCCTAAACCCTGAACCCTAAACGCTAAACCCTAGGCAGCGCTCAGAGCCGAGGCGAGATTTGCCCATGACGAGGCATCCGCGACTTCTCAGGGTGAGCAGCGCTCGGATTCACCAGGCACACCTTGGTGCAAAGTAGCCCGTAGAAATGGCATTGTCGTGAAGGGTGTGCCGGGCGAAGGAGCTTAGGCTAGAGCTCTGGGGTCACAAGGCCCTTAGAGCACGGCAGGTCATCTTCCATTTTCCTGATCTGCTTTCAGGGAAACCCAGTGCGGATCTGTCAGTCTACATGAGATGCGCGAGAGAAGACGCAACACGATTCAACTCAGATCAACGGCAAACTGAATGCAGCATTTCTAGTAAGAGTGATATGCTAGCACGCCGCCCGCTTCGGCAACGAAGCTTTGAAACAAGCGGAACCCATGCGAAACTTCACCGACGGAGCCCGGATAGCCCAGAATAAATCGGAATGCCAATTCAACCCAACGCCTTTTTCCAATCAGGGGTTTCCGAATCCGGGAAAGAGGAAGGATCAGAATAGGACTCATACAGCAGTGACCACAGCATTTTGTCGAGTAGACATCCGGATGTCCCTCCTGGATCCCCGAAACCAAGACAAAGCATAGCAGTCAGCATCATAGGAGCAGTGGTGTTGCTAAGTGATAGGACTTGCGTTTGCCACCGTGGTGCTAGGAAAGTCGCATAAATCCCAACGCTCATTAGTGAGATGACTGCATCCGCACTTGGGGGCTGAGTTTTTGCAAATGAGTTTTTGCAACAAGATTACCGAGTTGGTCGAGGAAGAGGGGAGCTGGTAGATTTCGGCAGCCCAAGATGCCATCTCGCCATCCTGCTCCCTGAACGGAGCTACTGAGAATCACAGGACGGAGTGGTGGGTGCCAAGTCTTGATGCCTCGGTGGTGGCTAAGCGGCTAAGCGCAGGAAAGAGGCCTGTACTGTATGTATGTGTGTGCGTGGGTGCGTGCGCGTGGGTGGTTATGTGCGTGCGTGTCGGCAAGCATGCATATACATTTTTGGAAGCACATACCTTTATCGACATGCATGTACGTGCGTGTGCGTGCAGCGTAGTCACACGCACACACAAACAAACACACAGACACACACACACACAGACACACAGACACACAGACACGCCGACACACACACACACAGACAAAAGCTCAAAGTTATGCCTCTATCGGCTGTTGCCGTTACCCGTTTAAGAAACATATTTCTTGTGTGTATAGAGATACCTGGACATGGAGTGGCCAGGAAAGCAATCATCCGCTCATCAGAAACGACAAATAGAGTACTCCCGAGGATGTTGAAGACACTGATGACACCACCACGACGACGGCAACGACTGCCACTGCTACTGCTACGGCTACTGCTGCTGCCAGTGCTACGACGACGACTACTACTACCACCACTACCACTGATACTGCTGCTACCGCTGCTCCTGCTGCTGCTGCTTCTACTACCACTACTACTACTACTACTACTACTACTACTAGTACTACTATTAGTACTACTACTACTACTACTACTACTACTACCACTACTACTACCACTACTGCTACCACTACTACTACTACTACTACTACTACTACTACGACTACTACCACTACTACTACTACTACTACTACTACTACGACTAGTACTACGACTACTAC